GATGCGGTAGGTCCACTGGGTGGCGGTCTGGTTGATGGGCTCCTCGCCGCTGCCGGCGTTGAAGATCAGAAGCAGAATCATGAGGAAGGCCTGGTTGAGAACCTGACCCCAACCTTGCATCGAGAAGCATGAGATCACTTTGGCGCCGCGGTGAAGACGATCCTCCCGAGTAGAGAGCTTGCCAGAGCCGACGGCATTCTCCATACTACTTGTGACAGTCATCGGGTACTCGCCACCTATCAGACAGCCAGTCAGTCATCGTATCACTGGGACCAAAAAGGCAAGGAGGCAGATACTCACCAACACCGATGCCGTAGATGAACAAAGACCACGCATAGCAGATGACCCAACCGTTCTGTGTGGTACCCCAAGCACAAACCAGCATGACCAAGCCTAGAATCATAATCCAGGCATCTTGTAGCAGACCCCAACGACGGCCGATCCAATCGCCAATAATACCGACCAACACCTGTCCGATGATAATACCGACGATCTCGAGATAGGATATAGCGGAGATCCAGTTCTTGGAGCAGATCTCGTATTTGCCCCAACAGGATTCGAAGGACTTGCCAAACAGGGTGGAGATGTTTCCGATGGAGAGTAAAACATAACTATGACACATCAGACCAACGTCTTCTTGTAGAGAGTGCCAACCAGGATGGACTTACCCTTCCAGACCAATACCAGCACCTGGAATGACGGTGTCGCGAAAGTAGTTCATGAGCGGCGACAAAGGATCGGCCTTGAACTGCTGCCAGAGAGCCGACCACTGACGGCTACTCTCCTTGGAGTCCACGGAGCGGACGAATTTGATCCGCTGGCCGAGAGGAAGATCGGCCCAGTAGACACCCGCTTGGGTGTAACTATCATCGGGGCGAAGGAGTTTGTCGAAAGCCTCCTTCTCGCTGTGGCTCATCTCAGGGAACTCGTGCTTGGCGGCCATGTCGGGCTCGCGAGAAGCGTCAAAGTCTGCCATATCGAGTATGTATTGACAAAAGGTCCTCGAGGCTGTTGAGAGACAGATGATCCTACCCGAAAAAGGGGGGGGAAGGGAGGAGAACTGATGGGCTTAAATATGCATGAACGGCGAAGGGGTTGCATTATCATGCTATATGCATCGAGAACCATCAATATCAGACTCGTTCAGCACGTTCTAGCGGTGGAGATTGTGGTTGGCTAGAAGCAGTTGGTTTGGTCCACTAGCGGTGCTTTAGTCGGCCAGGCAGTTGCATCTCACCCCGGTCAAGCGAGACGAACTAGTGGGCCTTCGGCCTCGGAGGGAAGCAGCGTGACAGTTGGACCGGACCAGTGTGTCAGGTAATCTCGGTTCCCTAGGCTCGACGACCAACGAGGGTTTTCTGATTGCATGAGCGAGAGTTGGAAAGGCGGGCTGGCTGACGGTGGCCTCGGGCCTGGACAACCCATGCCGCTGCTCGACGGCAGCTGTGCGCCAACATCTAGATTGCAGACCTTGCTGTTATCTCCATTGCAAATGCATTCACCATTATCACATCGCAACTAACCGGTTCAAATCGGAGACTAAGATGAAGGACCGGGTCGGACTGAGTCATGGCCCCGAGCACAGTAGGTTTAGCGAAGAAGCAGAGACAAGAGAAGAAGGGAAGCAGACAAGCCTCCTTGGCCAGACTTGGCCCAACTTGGCCCAACTTGGCTCCTGCGACACCCGGCATGGCAGCGGGCGTGGCACCACGTGCGAGGAGAGAGCTGTGACTTGCATCCACGGTCCTGCAGCACCAAGTGGGCTGCACTTGGCAAAAAAGTGTCTCGTGTCTCGTGTGTTGATGAGAGGTAGAATCAAAGAGGAGAAAGAGCGCACGTGCCCGGCCTGGTTGTTTTCTCTCGCCCATTGGCGGTGGTCCCGTGCGCCCCCTATCGACGCCCTAACCTGTATCGAGCCTAGGCCTACAGAACTTATGTAGTTTAAGCCACTAAAACCACTTCGGCCAGCAAAATAAGAAATAAAGGAATAATCATATTATAATTGACCTCAACAACGCGAGTAGAAGAACAAAGCATAACAGCAGGACCTTCCGCCTCTGAAATCTTGATCACTTGATCGATCAAGCTTTGGCTAACAGGGTCCCAAAACAGAGGGTCTTTCAGGCAATTACCACTGCGATAAAGGTAAGAGAAGTTGTTTCTGCAGAGGGCCGGCTATACTATATCCTTCCGTAGTCCACCGGATATTGCTCCCGCTCACTCGACTGCATCGACGTTCCCCATAACTTGATCGGTTTTTGACCGTCCTGGAATGGGACCTATTACAAGCAGCCTGTCCCAATATGGTATTCGACCAGGTCCCATTTGAAACGCGCCGGTCGACTTCCTTCGCTGCCTGGTTCGAAGAGCTCTGCCCTGGCGAACCTCGTCACCAGCTTCTAACCCATTTGTCTGCTGCGATGCGGAGGCTTTAGGAAGCAATTTCGGCAAGCAAGATTTCTGATTGTTTCGTCGACTACCGTTTTTCTGTGACCGTGCCGAAACTGGAGAAGTCCGATCGACATTTCTTCCTATGTCTGCTTGCTTGTCTCCTTCCATCGCTTGCTGCTCGCTATTCACGCGCCTGCTATGGAAGAGAAGGCATGTTAGCCTGACAGAGGTCTCAGAAGAGGGGTCTCATACAAACCCACCCGGTCGAGGTCCCAATAGGATCATTCCTGGTATTCCTGGTTGACTCTCTTTGTATATCAACACCGCTGTAGGTGTTGACTGATGCATGCTGATCATAGGCCGGCCTGCCCGCATTGGAATCGTCGAGCTGTGGAGTAGAGGCAGCTGGAGTCGATAGCCCGCTATGGTCCGCGTACTCCGCATTGAACTGCGCCCAAAGAGCATCAAGATCTTGAGCCTTAGTAAATCCACATGTCTCCTGCTCTGCGTTCGGAAAAGTATTAGACGCGGCCACTCTAAAATTCCCAGGTCTTCTAGCCACACCGTCCCTGCGTCCAAACTCGTCATTAGCCGTCAACAACTTCTACAGTACACCATCAATTCTCGTTCCTCCTCTGATCGCCAGCCTTGAAAGCCCATCAAAGGAATATCCGGTCTAAAAAAGCACTGTTTGGACTGTTGCTCGAGCATCGCCAGACTCTTTCCATCCGGCGGCGAGTGGTATACCGGCGACCAAAGATAATCAAGCCAGACTTTCCAAAAGAATGAATTCACATGGATTGTGATAACTGACAAGGCCCTTCTAGCCCATAGATGGCAAAAATGATCCTTTAGCTTCAGCCCCGGGCCCTTGGAACATGCTATCTTGCCCTTGCCGCTTTTCCAAACGTCATCCAACCTTGCCTGCTCGTATGCCCGTCCTCTGGATTTCCTCATGACTCATCTTTCCTTGGATTTCCTGCTGTGCACGCCTCATCCGTCGTCCACGGCAGCCGCAGTTCCCTTGCGCCTTTTCATCATCTGGACCGTTTGTTCCAGGCCAGACAGTCCACCAGAGGAGCCGACCGGGTCCTTTTCTCCATAATGCTTGCTCCTATGTTTTTGACACATTCCCCAACATCGAGCCACTGGCTCTCGGTTGCGAGAATGGACCTCAGGTTGCTGCTGAAGTCTGCGCAAATCTGGATACCCGGAAAGGATTTATGGCTTGGGGGGTTTGTGGAGGGGGGGGGGAGGAAGGGGGAGAGGTTTGCTGCTGGGGAATGCTTCCAACTCACGTGTCAAATTCATCATCATATGGAATCCTCGGCGTACTGGAGCCAGGGCTCTGATTATTCTGGAGTTCCTGGAGTTCCCGAATCAATCTGTCTGTCGATTCTTTTAGAGCCAAGTCGTGTGTACTACATATAAATATAATCCTTTCGTTGAGTTCAGGAATATGTTGGCCGAGTTCAAGAATCTGTTCGCTGAGTTTAGGAATCTGTTCCCAAAGACTTGCATCACCCATTACGGAGAGATGTTTCACCCAGCGGGAAAGATAAAAGATAGTGCCTAACTGACGGCGGAGAATCACTTCTAAGCCAAGATTGAGTTGATGACAAAGTCAAGTCAGGCAGTAGGTTGCAAAGTAGGACTGACAGCGAGCAAAGATCAACGATAGCAGAGAGTTGGTATTTCTACCTCGTGAACGCGTGAATTCTCCAGGACGCGACGGGGGTCGCGTTAGGCGGGGTTCGTCTTAGAATCAGTTCGAAAGGAAAAGAAAATACCACCTCCAGGCTTCCACGGTCTGGTCGGCGTTTGTGCTGCATAGATGATGCAGGGTGAAAAGACAGCCTGGACCAATCTTCGCGACGAGAATTGCGCACTACCTAGTAGTATACCTCTAGTAGGCGGGTGAGGGACTACGAGGTATTGTACTTGTATCGTACGGACCGCAGAGCATGCCTGACCAATAGCACTGCCAACATATGTCAATTAGTTCTACCAGGACTGTAAGATTTCCGGGGTAGCACTGTACCTTATACTAATATACGCCCCAGTCAGATCATTCGGTGTTTGGCTTTCTCTTCCCTCTCACTGGACCAGCGACTTTTCCCCCATTGTCCTCCTTCTTCCCCAATGACTCACCTCATCCAGGTTGACAGAGCATCTGTTGGCATGAACAGACTTTTTCACTTGACCAATGATCACTCCGAGAAATCCCCATGACGTCTGAGGGGCTGGCCTCAAGAGACACTTTTGCACAAGACGAAAAATGCCGCAGAGAAGAGAATGTGCCTTTCGAGATTTTGGAAACCCAATCCAGCTGCTGCAATGCATTTTCCCTATTCCACATAATCAAGTTCCAGATGACTATAAGTAGGACAGAATATCCCCCCAGCCTAAGGGGCCTGCCTCATAAACGCAGTTTGTTGATCCGGTAAAAGCATTGAGCCTACTCCAGCCCGCCAGACAATCGCCCACGAACTCCTTCTGTATCTTATTTTGGTTACATTCCATCATCATCATCATCATCATCATCATCAGACAAGGATTTTGAACAATAACACTTCTATTCCTCTCAACGGTAAGTTCTCTTCATATGCCGAGCCACACTTGACCGGACCAAGCCTGACCAGACCAGACCCGAACATCCACCCCCACGAGGTCGAATCTCCTTTTATCTTTGGGAGAAGATGCAGCGCGAATCCCCTCCTCGTCTCTTCGCGAACGAACCGCACTGCTGCGGATCCCCCATGCTCCGCCGCGAGACCCGCAAAACGAACAACGGCAACCTGCACCGGCCCTTCTACAGATGCGACGATTGCGAATATATGGTGTTTGACGATTGGGAGGGCATCCGGGTCGGGAACCCGGAATGTGCCTGCATGCCCGCGAAAATCTCCCGAGGACAGATAGAGCAAGGCAAGGCTTACGTCTTCCGCTGTGCGAGGGGCGAATGTGATTTCAAAGAGGTAGTGCGAGGATGATGCCGGGGCGGCGGCAGCGATGGGTTCTGTGGTGGTGCTCTGAAAGCTGATGCCAATTCTATGGAGCGTTTTGGAGGAAGGGCCCCATTGGGTTCAGAACGTGCCAAGTAGATTGGAGTCAATGAGGAACCAACTTGTAGGAAGAGCGGAGGGACTGCCTCTTTGGGGGGGGGACGCTTGGAACTAGACCTGTTGAAATTGAGATGGCTTGCACTGTGATTTATACACGAGATTCAGTAGACTGAGACGATATTGTCGTCTCCACGCCGGCCTGGTGTTGGTAACCCAGGCCATCCGGCGAGAGGACTATGTAACTTACGGCCAACATCGAAATCAGAGGGAGATTGTAGCAAGTATGTCATCTGGTTTGATGGCTCTGTATTGCTTTGTATAGGTATATGTATTTCCGTGGTATAAATTCTTTGAACTTGGACTACAAAAAACGCTTCCAGTGTAGGGTTGAAATGTCAATGGAGAATCAAGATCTTAACTAAGGTTCCCCAGGGTTGATTTATCAATAAAGTCTTACTTTTGACGGCTAGGTCGAGCGTTTGTGCAGATACCTGAAACGTGATGGATACCAAATCTCTCCATGCTCTACCAACTCCACGCTGAAACGACAGCAAGATACCATTATATACAGTTACGAATGACAGTGTACAATTTACTGTACACCTGACGGCCCCTCGTTCATACCGCCGGGCTATGCAACGGAGAAGAGGCCAGCCGCAGATACCGGTGTGGCCGCCACTTGAACCTCCGCGTCCACCAGAAGATCAGAACCGTCCCGAAGCAAGCGAGCAGAATCATGCCGATGACCACATCGTTGATGGCCCGCAGCAGATCGTCTGCATCGGAGACGTGCTCGGACTCCTCCTGGGCCATTTCTTCGTCCACGACGATGGTCTCGACCAGTGAGGCCGGGTCCACCACAATCTCCTCCTCGACAGCAGGTTCAACAGCCACCAGCGATGCGGGATCGTCAGGGACGAGGAGCAGCTGCTCTCCATCCTCGGATGCGTACTTCAGAGCTCCCTCGATATCGGAGCGGATGATCCGCGACCAGCCAAGGGAGTTCCCGTTGCGATCGAGCGCTTCGGCAGAAACGAAGTCCCAGTAGCCCGGGGTCACGAAGACCGACTCGAAGTCGTGCTTGGTCACGTTGCCGATCAGATAAGGGACGGAGGTCTCGTCCGCTTGCGAATAGAAATTCCAGACGGCGACCTCGGTGGCGCCGTTCCAGCTGACGTGGACGACGGTGGTCAGCTCGGGATTCGACGCGGCTGCGCCTGCGGCGGACGGATGCGCCTGGCTGGGTTTGCTGGCGTAGACGGACGCGGCCAGAGCGGGCGGCTGCTGGGGGTGGCCGACGAACGGGAACTTGTACGACCGGTAGCTGTTGAAGCGCGGGGAGAGGAACTTGGCTTCCATGAGCGCGGTGCCATCCGGGGCATGCTCGCTGTGGTAGCCTTGCGCGCTCCAGCCCATGAAGACGTTGCCTCCTTCGAGCCGCTGGAGGTTGCCACGCATGCGACTCAGGCTCCCGTCCGGACGGGTGTAGCGGCTCCGCAGCGTCGCGGTCATTCGAACAGTGTCCAGCTCGACGATCATGCCGGAGGACACGTCCTCTTGGTTGGTGAAGTCGTCGGAGGCGTTGTTAAGGAACGACAAGACGGTGTGCGTCTCGTTGGCGGAGACGAATCGCGCGTTGTGTTGCTTGGAGAAGGTGAAATCCATGGCGAAGTTGGTGTATTTCCCGCCCAGGCGCCAGATGATGTGTCCGTCTTGCCCGGAGATCAGATAGATGGTGCTGGTGTAGCGAGCCGACAGGAGGTAGTCGCCGTACACGTTCTTGTCCGCCGCGTTCACATGGATGTAGTCCAGACCTCCTCCTCCTTCGGGCGGCGACCACGGCATCACATGGTCCGACTCGTGGAGGGGGATCTTGTCGCGAGAGTCCCAGTCGAAGAGCACCGCGCTGGTGGCTAGGTCGATCTCCACAAACCCTCCCGAAGCCACTCGGCTCGATTCCGCCGGCCGGCCCAACTCCGCCAGGGACTGGTCCTGAATCCGGATCGAGGCCGCCAACGCCGTCTTCCCGCCCGGAAGCACATTGAACTCGTGCAGATCCCACCGCTCTAGGTCATTCGTGATGGGGATGGTGCTCTCCACCAAGTATTTGTCGTTGAGTATGTAAGCGGCACCTTTGGCCAACGGCGTGCCGTCGTTAATGTAGTTGTTTTGGAGAATGAATGAAAGATGGGTGGCACCATCGGCGATATGGCTCGTAGGCTTGAAGTCGAAGACATTGCGGTTGTTGTGGAGACAAGATCCAGTCCAGATCAGCTTGCCGTCCTGATCGTAGATGTGAGGTCCCACTTGACAGGGATTGAATTTGCTGTTATATGGATCGGCGTCCAGGTGACTGTACGGCGCGACGAACCAGTACCCGGGGCTTACGCGACTGCGATCGTGATAGGTTATGTTGTATTTGATTGCCTTAACATTTGGCATCTGCGAGCGAGACGGTCAGTCTGGGGTCCGGGGGCATTGATAAGTTAAAAGCGTACAGTGACAAACGAGAGGAGGTCATCATCGCGAGTGACGTCAAATGTGTCCGCAGCCTCCGTGGAAGGAAGCAAGGAAGGAAGCAGAAGCAGAAAAGAGGATAAAGAAAGTGAGCGCATTGTGTTCGCGACGAATGAGAAGTCTATATATAGCGAGGGTGAGGCTTAAAGAAAGATCGACAGTTGCATGATGGGGTCAGCAGTACATGGCTTGACGATGGCTACATGCAAAGTAAATTGCAAAGGCAAAGAGGGTACGAGGAAGACATGAAGCAAGGACAGAAGCGAAGCTTTTAAAAACAAAAACGACGATCAGACAACAAAATCAGGAACAAGATAAAAGGGATAAAAATTGGGAATTGAGGCGTGGGCAGCCAAAGAGAAGAGGCAAAAGGGTCCCCACCACGTGGAGCCACGGGTATCGCAGCGAGGGTTTATCGGCTTCTAGCCTTGGGGCGGCCCCACTGCCTCCCCATCAATTGGGAATCCTAAGCGACGGAGGCGTTCGTGTTCGTGACAAACAGGCAAAGCGGCCCGACACTAAGGGACCATCAGGGACCTCCAATTGGTGAGGGCGTAACCTGTCTTCGCAGCCGCGATACCATCCGTCAGGTATAAGAATAGTGTCAGTTGGAGGCTGAAGCGCTGCGCAGGAGTCATATGCTCCTTATACCCCGTCAGGTTACGAGGAGACCAATCCTGAAACGAGCTGTGGAAACTGACGTCCCTTTAGCATAGACATCTCTCCCAGTTGGTATCAGCCACCTGTTCTATCAAACTGGAACACGCAACATCACTTCCTGTATCTTTTGCAGACGATTCATCCATAATATGCTTCACTGTTTTGTCATCAGAGTCGTACTGTCTCTTGGCACATTGCAGAAGCCAGACTTGCCATCTGAGACATGGATCTTGATTGATAAGGGCTCCGTTCCGAAGACTCAGTGCCTGGACTCTGCAGTGGCTCAGTAGGCTCAGTGGCGTATAACTAGCAACGCATCTCGGCTTCATGTCCTGAGAAGTAAGCCCAGAGCATTCGAGCCCCCACAAGGATACGTACGCCTTCTTTCTTGACCAGTGGAACTGGTCGCTAAAGATGACTTTGTTGATTCGGCGCCCCACAAATAAGCTTTGGGTAGCATGCAAGCGGCAGCTGTCAGTATAGCAGTTCAATCCTGGCAGCCAATGACCGTAGGATAATGCACGAGCATGTCTCACAAGCTCGATGAGTAAGAAGCATCATGACAGCAATTGATCGGGGGGGTTGTGAGACTCAATCACGGTTGAGAAAAGATTCAGGATGAGCCGCATGATCTTGATGGGAAGCAACCGCTATTTGATGAATCATGGTACTCCTGCATTTCTTATTTGCAGCAGGGCGGCTCCCAATGAAAGTTGTTTCCGCACAGGAGCTGCATTGGATACAGCACGAGATGAAATGAGATGCAGACTAGGAGAACCACGGAAGAATGAAGGTCCGGGGATCGAGTATTTGCGATAGACACCTTGTCTTTCAGGCTCACATCCCATCCCCAGCTGCAGGTGTAGACTCCGAGAGTCACGGTAAATAGAGATCCGTGAAATCGAATGGATCGATTGCATCGCACGCATCGAAGACACCGGAGTACGTTGTAGACTATAGACGGTCAAACCGAGGTATTTGTCTTCTATCAGACTTTCGAATGCATCTAGCATTTGGTACCACACAAACTACTGCCACACTAGCGCAGGGGCACTGCGAGACAACTCCCAAGCTGGCTGCACGATGACACCGCAAGGCCGCCCGAGACTATTTACAACATTTGATGATCCATTCCCACCGGGGTTATAGCATGGAGAAAAGCAGCATCGCCGCCGCCGATCCCGATCATGCAAGGGTCATCGGTATTGGCCGACCCGAGGATGTTGAGTGGCTGCTTTCTCCCTTCCCCACTTTGGATGATCGGCTTCTAGCAGCATACCCGAAATACACTATCTGCTTAATGACATGTTGATCGTCGACAAAAGCCGGAAGGTCCACCGAGAGCAGTCAGGGTCTTGTCCGCATAAGTATGCGCAATGATCCACCTCACCCTCCCGCCGGCATCGGGCACGGCATCGGATTCAAAATGCCCCCTCTCGGAATTGTGGGATCAAACATCGATATATGACATTCCAAATGACTCCCCCTCGACCGAATCCTACAGAAGTCCAAGACAATCTCGCAAAAGGCCAGACAGAAACCATGGGCCACGAGCCAACCCCCGAACCCAAGCACCGCATGGACGGCGGCCTGGCCGCATGGCTCCAAGTGCTGGGCAGCTGGCTGATCTTCGCAAACACCTGGTCCGTCACCTCGTCTTCACATTGTTTCCGTGCCAAACTTACCAGCAAGTAATCTACCCAAAACCAGGGGTCTCACCAGTTCCTACGGCGTCTTCGAAGCCCACTACACCACCGCTCTCCTGGCCGACTACACCCCGTCGGCGATCGCCTGGATCGGCTCGGTGCAACTCTTCCTCATGATGGCGATCGGGCTGCCCGTCGGCTCGATCATGGACCGGGGCCATCTGCGACTGCTGGTGGTCGCGGGCAGCGTCCTGCAGGTGGCGGGGATGCTGATGGTCTCGCTGTGCACCGCGTACTGGCAGGTGTTTCTGGCGCAGGGGATCTGCGTGGGGATCGGGAGCGGGCTGCTGGTCGTGCCCTCGGTGGCGGTGCTGCCGCTGTACTTCTCGGCGAAGCGCATGCTGGCGACGGGGATTGCGGCGACGGGGAGTAGTTTAGGTACGTGTTAACGCTCCCTCTCTGTGAAGTTCACCACCTGAGGCTAAGGCTGAGGCTGAGGCTGAGCCCCATGCAGCGGGAATCATCTACTCGATCATGCTCCGCCGACTGATCGTCCGCATCGGGTTTCCCTGGGCCGTGCGCGTGCTCGCCTTGGTCATGCTCGCCGGCTCCATCACCTGCGCCGCGGTGATGCGCCTCCGTCCCGGCCATGCCAAGCGCGCGCCCCTACAGTGGAGGAAATTCACCTCCGATTCGTGCCTTGTATCTTTCACCGCCGGTATTCCCCCCAAGCCCCCTACAAATTTTGGATCACTCCGCTGGAGACTACCCCCTTCACTCCATGATTCTAACCAAAGGCAACAGCATTCACAGCAATGATGGCCGCAGTCTATATCCCCTTCTTCTACGTGGAAGACTACGCCCTCGACCTCTCCATCGACCAAGACACATCCTTCTACCTGCTCAGCATCATGAACGCAACCAGCTTGATTGGCCGCATCGGCTCGAACTGGTTAGCTGATCGGTAAGTAGCCCGGTCCTTACCCCCCCCTCCCTTACCCCAAACGTAACCCCCCTCTCCCCTCCCCCACCCATCAACCCGAACTAACCCACCCAAAACAAGATGGGGCGGCCTCCCCCTCGCCCTGCCCGGCTGCCTAGCTACCGCCATCATCCTCTTCTTCTGGCGCTTCGCCACCACCCTGCCGGCGCTGGTGGTCATCGTCGCGATCTACGGCCTGGTGTCGGGGAGTATCGTGTCCTTACCGCCGGCGATCATCGCCAACCTGCCGGGGGAGGTGTCGGAGGTGGGCGCGCGGATCGGGGTGGCGTATACGGTTGCGGCGGTGGGGGCGTTGGTTGGGAATCCGATCGCGGGGGCGGCCAGACAATCCGGCACGGGGGTGCCGGTGCAAGTCGAGTATCAGGGGACGTGGGTGTTTGGGGCGGCGGGGATGGCGGTGGCGGCGGGACTGGTGGGGTGGACTTTGTGGTTGAGAGGGGTTTTGGGTAAATAGACTGGTCTTGGTCGGGGTTTGGGGGGTGGATGTAGGTACAACAGTGTGTGGGATATATGATTTCAGGGGATTGTGTTCTATTGCTGGATTGAGATTATTGGTGCGGGAGGGTAGGTATTCATTTGTCTGCTATCGAAAATGTCAATCTTGATAGAACCACTCGTGTGGAGCGAATTACAGTATGTTGTAGATCAAGCATGGTTGGGAATAGCCAGTGTTTGAGATCGATCTCAATGCAATGCCCTCGATCAACCCTCGGACCCATCCGGCCACCGACCACCAAGCAGCGGAGCCAAGCAAATGCAATATCGGAAGCATCCGACAAGCCCCACATCCCCATACCATACTTAGGCACAACTTAGAACATTCTGTAACTAACTACTAGGTACAAAACCCATCCTTCCCCCGGATTCAATTAATCACACCCTAAGTTAACATCACAACCCAATCCCAACACCAATAATCAGAACCACAACCACAACCACAACCACAACCACAACCACAACCCACCAAATCTCAAATTCTACATACAGTAGACACACCAGAAAAAATGCTAAAATCCACCCTCCGCCACCTCCCCAAACCCCCCCTCCCCAAACCCAACAAAAGACGACTTCTCACCACAACCACCCCCCTCGCCACCCCCAAAACCAAAACGAACCCCCAACGCTCCCTCCCAGCATCCTACTACCGCGGCGGCACCAGCCGGGCCGTCTTCTTCAACGCGACCGACCTGCCCGCCGACGCCTCCACCCACCCCGCCATCTACCGCGCCGTGCTGGGCAGTCCCGACGCCGCGCACCGGCGCCAACTCGACGGGATGGGCGGGGGCATCAGCAGCCTCTCCAAGATCTGCATCATCCAAGGCGATTCAACCCACCCGGCCGCGGACGTGGATTACACGTTCGTGTCGGTCGGGGTGGTCGACGACAAGGTCGATCTGACGAGTAACTGCGGGAATATGAGTGCGGCGGTGGGGCCGTTCGCCGTGGATGCGGGGTTGGTGCGGGCGCCGCGGGTGAAGGGGGATCAGGCCACTGTTAAGATCCATAACACCAATACGGGGAAGATTATTCATTCCACGTTCCCGGTGGTGGAGAGTGCATCGGGGTCGGAAAACGGGGAAGGGCCGGAGTATGAGGCGGCGACGAGCGGGGACTTCGCCATCGATGGGGTGGCGGGCACGGCGGCGCGGGTGCAGCTCGATTTCGTGGATCCCGCCGGGTCGGTCACGGGCAAGTTGCTCCCGACGGGGAATGCGGTGGATGTGTTTGAGGTCAAGGGGGAGGTGGAGGCGACGTGTATCGATGTCGCCAATCCGTGTGTATTTGTCTCCGCGGCGAAGCTGGGGGTCCAGAGTAATCTGACGCCGGAGGAGTTGACGGCCGACGTGGGGTTGTTGGACAAGTTGGATCGCATCCGGAGGTTGGCCGGCGTGAAGATGGGCATCGCAGCGTCGCCCGAAAAGGTGCCCGGGAGCATTCCCAAGATCGCTCTGGTGGCGGCCCCCGGGGAGGATGCGCGCTCGGTCGCCAAGGGTCAGACGCCGCAGAAGGTCGATCTGGTGGCCAGGGCGCTCTCCGTAGGCCAGCCTCATAAAGCACTGCCCATCACGGTGGCCTTGGCTCTGGCAACCGCGGCGAGGGTGGAAGGGAGCACCGTGTCGCAGGTTGTGAAACGGGGACAGACGGTCGATGCTGCCGGGATCACAATCGGACATGCCAGTGGAAACATGTTGGTGGGGGCTGAGTTCGCCGAGGATGGCAGTCTGCAATCTGGTCGCGTGTTTTCGACCGCGCGGAGGTTGTTTGAGGGAAGGGTGTTCTGGAAAGATGAGTAACAAGTATGCCGCAGACCTCATATTGTGTACATAGTATCAGTCGTGGAGAATCAATCACAGAGGCGGTTCTCAGAAGCAATCCTTCATCACGCTCGACAGCTCGCCCCCGTAGTCAACCATATACTGTCCACTTCTTCCCCATACGTCGGTCTCCTGATGCGGCGGCAGGGCTCCCATCCCCATGATCTGTGTTTCCAAACTCCCAACCGCCTCGAACCACTCCATCAACTCCCTCGTCATCTGCACCCCATCCACCGGCGTGAGACTCTGTATACTGCCCGTTGACTGCATCGAAGGGTCAACCGCGCCACTCGCTTGTTCTATCTCCTGCTCCTTTGCAGAGTTAAGCACATCCGCACCTTCAGGCCCAGCTTCCGCTGCCTCCGGCTGCCGACGCATAACCTGCGGCCCCAACTTCCGCAGACTCCGAATTGACTTCCACAATCGTAGTGAGATATAAGACTTTGTCGAGAAGCCTTTAATAAGTTCCAACGCCAGGTAGAATTCCTCACGACAGGCGCTACCGAACTGTGACGGGGCTTGCGCGACAGCCAGAAACAGCACCGCGACTGCCGAAACGAGAAACCAGTTGAAGGTCACCTGCTGAAGACGGTAGATATCCGTCGTCTCGTTGAGTCGCGTGATGAACCGGATTGTCTCCCTGGCCAGGTCGACGACCATCTGCGACTCAGCCGGGTACCGCACGATATGCGCGGCAGAGTGAAGCACGGGCCGATGGATGAGCATGCGGAGCTGGTTGGAGCG